CTAGCTAGACTCTGACAGCTTAGGGGAGAATGATGGGTCACTAACAAAGCCCTTAAGACCTCCAAAAGGCCTTTACATTTATTTTCCTAATCTACCACATGCTTGTCACTCTCTTAAAAAAATGATCTCTCCTAATGATGTGTCAGTAACAAGGGCCCTAATTCCTAAATGACCGCTCAGAAAGCCTACCCATTCTATTAGAATTAGGACATTCTAGCTAATACTTTCGCGCTTCACATGTTTGACTCCATTTGTGTAAAAATATATCAACTACCACACCTTTGGTTCGATAAGGAAATCGTACATCACTAGCCATGTTCACAATGCTAAACAAGCAACTATGTCATTGTTTCTTCTCTGCATAGCGGTGGCGACAGCAGCATCTATAGCTGGTGATTAGGATGCAACTATCACTTGCAACTTGGTGTATAGCAGCCTCGAACCACGTCTTGGGTACGTGTTAGGTGGTGGATTAAGCGTCCCATCAGATTGCTGCAGTGGGATTAGATCTTTCCAGAGAGCTGCACGTACCACTGTTGACCGTCAAATCTATTGCAGATGCCTCAAAAATACTGTTGGTCCAAACGCTGCACCAACTCGAATTGGCCGTGCTATTAAACTCCCTGCAATTTGTAACGTCAATTATTTTGTCAAGGTTACTCCAAATATTGACTGCTCTAAGCTCAAATAATTAATTTAATTACCCGATATTTTTCAATTCATAATGATATTGAATATATTTGTGTTTGTATTATTTCCAGAAGCTATATATTGATAATTGATGTGTGTGTTTATATTTATATTAATATAACTTTGTTACGTGTTGTTTTAGATTTGAATCGTTGTTAATCATTTTTGATGAGATTACAATTTAGTTAATCACACAATTAGCATTAGTTTTACAGTTATCATTAGAATTCACAAAGTTAGTTAGAGTTCACAAAGTTAGTTGGTTAAGTTGTTATTCTGTCAGATCAAGTTAGTTAGTTGAAATAGTGTATATATACACAATACTGTATTGATTATATTTTTCAGTTTATTCTCAATAGAAATTCTTTCAGTTCTCTCTCTCTGAATGCTCCTCTCGTGAAGCTTAAACCTCTATTAATGGAAGAAGCTTAATATTTTCCAGCTTATGCTGCTGTTTTTGTCATGGTATCAGAGCACATGGATGATTTCTGTTTTTCGCATCCGCATTACTTCGTGAGTATTGCAAATCCAATTTTTTTCTTCTTCTTTCAATTCTTAATTCGATTTCACGACCTGTGATTTAGGGATTTCGTGATTTCTTTCTCGCTTCCTTAGATCTTGTTTTCTCTCTTCTGTTTCTCACTTTGCAAATCTCGAATTGTCCCCAAATTGCTCTTCAATTTTCATCCATGGGTGATGCACCAGTTGTTGCTCCTAAAATAGATTTCAGTGGTCCACTCTATTTGCATCCTTCTGAGAACATAGGTTCAACACTATTACCAGCTGTTTTTGATGGAACTGGGTACAAATCATGGAGACGAGCTATTCTCAGGCCCCTATTTGTTAAGGTAAGACTGGTTTCGATTCATCACTGGGAAAGTTATTAACCCAGCTTCTACAGATTTTTCCTTCGCGCAATGGGAGAGATGCGATGATATGGTGACTTCATGGATCCTCAATTCCCTCTCACCTGATTTGCGCGACAGTTTACAGTATGTTAACAATGCCAAAGAACTTTGGGATGAATTAGAAGAGAGATATGACCAAACTAATGATTGTAAACTCTATCAGTTACAAAAGGAGATCAATGATCTTGTGCAAGGAACTTTGGATATCCCTGGTTATTACACGAAGGTGAAGAAACTATTGGAGGAGATGAACACTATTGATGTTCACTCCAGGGTACTTGTGCATGTGTCTGTGGTGATAAGGCCAAAATGCACCATGTTGAACAGGATAGGAGAATTGTACATTTTCTGATGGGTTTGAATGAGATGTACACTATTGTGAGAGGAAGAATTCTCATGATGCCTGCACCTAGCATGGCACAAGCTTTTGCTATATTGTTACAAGAGGAAAGACAAAGGGAAGTTAGGCCTCACAATCACACTACTTTGGAATCCACTTCACTAAATGCCTCTGTTTCACCTAATGTTGCTACAGGATCCAGAGTTTTCAGGACCAACTATGCCTCCTCAAGAGGAGGTACTAATAGTTCAAATCCCAACACCAACACTGTCTTCAGAGGCAATTCCAGCACTGGTAATAGATCATATTTGTTTTGTGACTTCTGCAAACGTACTGGTCATACCAAGGATAGGTGCTACAAACTTCATGGTTATCCATCCAATTCTAGACCTCCTAAGGGAAGAGGCTCAGGTTCTGAAGCAAATGCATACAGTTCTGAACAAGACAAAAATCACAATGAGAAGTCTGATAAGTCAAAGAGACAAATGCCATTGAATCTGTCCAAAGGTCAATATGAGCAATTGCTTAACCTCTTGGGATCTCTGCAAGCTGGAAATAAGACTGATGGCTCAGGAAATATGCTTAGTGGAGTTGTGAACCTAGCATGTATTTTAGCTTGCTATTCTTTAATTACTGAGATAGGTAATCTATCATGTAAATGTACTAGATTAGGTGCTGATTCTTGGATCATAGACTCAAGAGCATCACATCACATGACTTACACCAAAAATGCCTTAACTAACCTTAGAACACTACCTTATCCTTCCTTGATCACCTTACCAAATGGATACAAAGTCAAGGTAACTGAAATTGGTGATGTTTGTTTGAGTTCAACATTGACGATCTGTACAAAGTTTTATTCATACCTAGTTTCAAATTTAATTTGATTTCAGTTCATTGTTTGGCACTCCAACTCAAAGGAACAGTCAGTTTTGACAACTCTTCTTGTCTATTACAGGGCCCTTCTCTGAAGAACTCTCTGGCACTTTGTAGAGCTAGGAATGGACTGTACTTTTTCTGTCCAAAATGCCACAACTGTGGTCCAACTTCTAGTGGTTTATCTCATGTCATTTGTTGTTCTACTGATAGTTTTTCCAATTACCAACATGTTCCTTCCTTAGTTCAAAGTAAACAAGTCTTAACTGGGATGACTGTCAAGCTTCACCATTATCTACTGTAAAATGTTCACATGTTTCTAATAAAAAAGCTTACACCGTGGATTTTTCTTCAAGTTCTGTCAATAATTTTCCCTTTTTTGCTGTAAATTTTGTCCACACCCATGCTCAGGATAGTAAATTTTTGTGACATACTAGACTAGGACATGTGCCTTTTGTAAAGATGAGAGGTATTTCTACCATTCCAATACATTTTTCAAACAAACAACCTTTTACTTGCACCATATGCCCTATGTCTAAACAAACCAGAATGCCCTTCCGTGACAGCCTTACCACAACCACCAAAGTGTTTGAACTACTTCACATATAGGGACCATATCATGTGCCTACTCATGATGGTTATCATTATTTCCTAATCATGGTAGATGATCATAGTAGGTCTGCTTGGACCCAATTACTCAGATGCAAAAGTAATGCATTACAAACTGTAAAAGCCTTCATAACTCTCATAGAAACCCAATTCCAAACTAAAGACTATCAGATCTGATAATGGTTTAGAGTTCACAAGTGCTGAAGCAACTTGTTTTTTCCAAGAAAAAGTCATTATACACCAAAGATCCTACCATTATACACCTCAACAGAATGGTGTAGTAGAAAGGAAATACAAATCCCTCCTTGAAACAACAATAGCACTCTTGTTCCAATCAAAACTACCTATAAGATATTGGGGAGAATGTGTCCTCACTGCCACTTATCTCATAAATAGACTACCCACAAAACTGTTACAAAACAAATCTCCATATGAACTACTGTATCAAAAAAGGCCAACCTATTCCCACCTTAGAAGTTTTGGATGCCTTTGTTTTCCAACCATTTTGAAAAATCACAAAAATAAAGTTGAACCAAGAGCCACACCACACATTTTTATTGGATACCCTTACAATACTAAAGGTTACAAGGTCCTAGACTTGGCTACCAAAAGGATTCATGTATCCAGGGATGTTCTTTTTCATGAAACTATTTTTCCCTTTGTTATTGCTCCTCCTAATTCCAGTTTTAATTCCGTCATAAATTCGCTTGTCCATCATCCTGATAAATTGTCTAGCATACCTGGTACAAATAATATTTTTGTTCATGATGAACTGTTGAACTCTCATACATCACTAGAAGTTGACATTGATCATATGCCCATTAATACTATTGAAACTACACTGAATACATATACACAACCTGAAACTGCACCTACGCCCTCATTTAGTGATGCTCCACTAGAACCTAGAAGGACAACCAGGTCCATCCACACTCCCAATTACCTAAAAGAATACAATTACACTTTGCCTAAGCTACATCTTTCCACCTCTAACACTATTACCTCTGCTCCACCACATTTCCTCACCTCATTTATATCCAATCATGACTATGTCTGTTTCACCTCCCTATGTCCCAATAGTCAGCAGCTAGTTCATACTCTTCCACATGACAATGAACCTTCCTTTTATGAAGAAGCAATTTTAAATCCTGCCTGGCAACTGGCAATGACACAAGAATTTGAGGCTTTATATGCAAATGACACATGGGAGTTGGTCCTTTTACCCAAAGGCAAGCATGCTATTGGGTGCAAATGGTTGTATAAAATTAAGTACAAAGTAGATGGAAGTATAGAGAGGTTCAAGGCAAGATTGATAGTAAAGGGGTATACACAACAGACTGATATAGATTACAATGAGACTTTCTCACTTGTAGTAAAGATGACTACTGTTAGGACCCTCATTTCTTTGCCAGTTAAAAAGGGTTGGGACTTGTATCAACTAGATGTTAATAATGCTTTTCTCCATGGTGATTTGAATGAGGAGGTCTTCATGAAAATTACCACAAGCACTTGCAATGGATGGTAAGGGCATGGTCTGCAGATTAAAAAAGTCATTATATGGCTTAAAGCAAGCCAACATGCAGTGGTATGATAAGCTAGCTAGCAGCCTCTGTTCAAAAGGGTACACTCATTCAAACAGTGACTACTCATTGTTTTACATGAAGCAGAGATACTCACTAATGTTTGTTGTTGTATATGTTGATGATATCATCTTGACTGGGACTGACTTGGAGGAAATTGCATCTTTGAAGGCCTTCTTGCATGATCAGTTTAGAATAAAGGATCTAGGGAAACTGCACTATTTTCTGGGATTGGAAATACTATATAGACCTGATGGTGTCCTCATTTCACAAAGAAAGTTCACTCTTGACCTCCTAAAGGAGTTTGATTCTATTGACTGCAAGACCACTACTTCACCACTTGATCTTGTTGAAAAACTGAAGGCCACAGAGGGCAAGTTATTATCAGATCCTATTCACTATCGAAAGTTGATTGGCAAGCTCAATTTTCTCTCCAACACAAGAATAGATATAGCATATAGTGTCCAACACCTCAGTCAGTTCTTGCAATCGCCCAGAGAACCTCATTTGAAGGCTTCTTACCATGTCGTAAGATACCTCAAACAAGACCCTACATTGGGAATATTTGTCTCTAATAAACCCCACCTCAATATCAGTGCTTTTTGTGATTCAAATTGGGCTACTTGTCCTGATTCAAGAAAGTCAATCAGTGGTTACCTGGTCATCATGGGTAATAGTCCCATTAGTTGGAAGTCTAAGAAGCAAGCCATAGTCTCCTTATCTTCTGTAGAAGCTGAGTACAGGGCTGTGAGACAAGTAGTTGGTGAGTTGATATGACTGGAAAGATTACTTGATGAGATGACAGTGCAGTGCTCTTTGCCTATATCTGTTTTCTGTGATAGCCAGGCAGCAGTTCACATAGCTAAGAATCCAGTTTTTCATGAGAGAACTAAGCACATAGAGGTGGACTGTCACTTTGTTAGAACCAAGCTCCAACAAGCATGATCACACTTCAACACATTTCCACAGGTTCTCAATTGGCAGATGTTTTCACCAAAGCCTTAACTAGTGTCAAGCATGCTACTCTTTTGGGCAAGTTGTCTGTGTTCAGCTCACCTCCAACTTGAGGGAGAGGGGGGGGGGGGGTGATGAGATTACAATTTAGTTAATCACACAGTTAGCATTAGAATTCACAAAGTTAGTTAAAGTTCACAAAGGTAGTTGGTTAAGTTGATATTCTGTCATATCAAGTTAGTTAGCTGAAATAGTGTATATATACACAATACTATATTGATTATATTTTTTAGTTTATTCTCAATAGAAATTCTTTCACTTCTCTCTCTCTGAATGCTCCTCTTGTGAAGCTTAAACCTCTATTAATGGAGGAAGCTTAATATTTTCCAGTTTATGCTGCTGTTTTTGTCAAGTTTGTTCTTATTTTTTATAGTTCTATGTGTATATTGGGCTATCTGTTAGAATAAATAAATATATATATATATATATATATATATATATTACTATATATAATAAGTGGGCATAACTATTACTTAGCACATGACAAGTGTTGGATGATATGTGCTTGATAGTGTTGTACATTTTTCTTTTATGGTTGTACTTTTAAAATTTATATTATTGGACAATTTAACACCATTAATTACCTACTACTTTATTAGCCAAAAAGTTTGACCTCATTTGGGCCCATTTATTATGAATATTTTTCAATTTTCAATATATGTTGTCTATCTAATTCTTTTTTTCAACCTTTTATTTTAAACTTCTTGAAATTTAATTACCTATTTATTACTCTCTCTATGCACTTTTAATTGTTATGATTTCCTTTTTAGAGTCAAACTAAAAGAATTTTAACTAATATTTTACAATGTGTTTTTTCATCATATTCATAGGCAAAAAATTACAATTTATAGTACTTTTTGTATAGATTTTGCATATTAATTTTTTTAAAAAAATATCGAATTAATACTATCTGATTTAACTTTAAAAATTAGTGAAATGGACTTTCAAAAAGTGCAACATGACAAATACAAGTGGACGGAGAGAGTATATTTTACCTACAAAATATATTAGAGGTACAACTTTTTAAAAAATTTAAATTTTTATTGCGTTGACTCTTGAAATCTTATCATTGTCATATGAATTTGAACAAATTATATATTATTAAAAGTTACATAAAAAATGCTATAAATCACAATAATTAACAATTAAAAATATTTTTAAATCATATAAGAAATTTGGTTGACTAATTGGAATAGAATGAGTAACATGTACTATTTGAAAATAACGTCAAAATTCTAGAATTCACAATAAATTAACAACTTAAAATATTTATGATTATTCACGTGAATTGAAACATGAGTAACCTATATTATTCAAAACTAATGCAAAAATACTATAAATCACAACAATTTAATAACTTCAAATATATTTTTAAGAAAACATATAAAAAATTGACTGATGTTCAAATTCCATTTATATCACATAAATTAAAACAAAAAAAATTAATATTTATTGGGCCCGTGCTGGCACGGGCACCAAATATCTATATATATGTGTCACAAATGGAAAAATTCCAATCAAGGAAGCAACATATATCATTTACAAATGACTTAAAAAGCATTAAAAATTACAATAATTACCAATTTAAAATATTTAAAAGCTATATAATAAAATACGTTGACTCTCAGAATTCTATCAGACTCACATATATTGGAACAGAAAAAATAACACATATCATTTTAAAATTACCAAAAAAGTATTATAAATAATAATAATTAACAACTTAAAATATCTTAAAGACATTTTAAAAGGGTTAATTTTGTAATTTTATCCATATCACATAAATTAGGACAAAGTGACCAGTAATGTACGTTATTTAAAAGTTACATAAAAATATTATAAATCACAATAATTAATAACTTAAAACATTTTTTAAAAAAATGAAAATTTGGATGACTCTCCAAATTTCATTTGTGTTATATAAATTGAGACAACAAAAATAACATATATTGGGTCCATTTTAATTTATTTGTCTTATTTTTTATTTTATATTTATATTTAAAAATTGCGTAAAAATATTATAAATCATGATAATTGACAATATAAAATATGTTTTGAAAAAAATACAAAAAATTCCACTGATTCTTGAAGTGAATCTATCGTAAAAATACTATCAATCATGATAATTGACAACATAAAATATTTCAAAAATATTGTATGTGGGTAGTCTTATTATACCTTAAATAGCGTCAAAGAAAGTACATATTTGTGATAAAAAACTTATTCCTTTATCCACGCAAACAATCGATTTAAAAACTCGGTTATTAGCCCCAAAACATATCATTTATATTATTGGGCCCGTGCATAGCACGAGCATCATTATCTAGTATATATATATATATATATATTTTAAAAACAGATGAGCCCACATTTTGTAAATCTCAAGTATTAAAATATCTGCATGCAAGAAGTATGATAAATACTTACCCACATTTTGTATTACACTCAATCAATCATCTTAACTTTAGTTAACTAAAAATTAGAGTACAAAATGCGTTGTAGTCATATAAATATTGTTGAAATTTAAACGAGAGAAGTATTAAAAACATTCTTAAATTTGGCGCGAATTATTGATTTCATTGTCAAATTATTGACAGACCTAAAAACACTCCTATACTTGACGAACTAGGCTTAAATACACCCCTCCCATTCCACACACAAAAATCGTTATTCACACGCTACACGTGGATTTTTTTTATCTGATGTGACTTATATATATAATTTTAAAAATAAAATAGAGGGATTTTGTTATTTCTTTAATTAAAAATAAATAAATTAACATAAAAGAATTTTTAAAATAAGGGGTTTTATCTCCAATCTTTTCCCGACCAAAAATTTTCAGCGTGTCTCACCTCTCTTCCGGCCAAAAGTTTTCTCCAATCTCACTACATAACCCAAATGGTTTTAAGCTTGAAAACGTTGATTAAAGTAGTGATAAGGATCTGCTTTTCTTTATTTTGTTAGCGTTTTTCTTAAGGGTTGAATTTCTTAACGCGGCCGTAAATCCACATCGACAAAAAAAAAGTAATGAACATAATAGGAGGAGAAAGAATATTATAGCATATGAAACTAAGCAATTTAAAAAGAGTGGAAATTTTTTTGAATCTTGTTTTGAGGTCAGTTTAATGGAGGAGAAGTTTAATAGGAAGAAGAAAGTATTGTGGCCGTAGGAAATTAAAAATTGAAGGAATTAATTTTTTTTAAAAAAGAAGAAGTCTGATGTGGCGCGTTTGTTACTTTTCACGCGCTTAAAAAGAGTGTAATCACTTGTTGTGCCATGTGGTATGGGATGGGTGCATTTTAGCTTAGTTTGTCAAGTATAGGGGTGTTTCTAAGTCTATCAATAGTTCGAGAATGAAACTTGTAGACATTGAAATTTTGCGAACTCTACAAGACGTGTTCAATTCGAATTGGGATTCTAGAAGATGTTCAGTTTCAATTAGAATTCTTGGAGGCTACTCAACCATAAACCTTAGTTTATGCCTATATAAAAGATACTAAATTCCCTTAAAAAACATCTCAAAATATCTCATAAACTATTGAGTATTTTTAAAGATTAGGATCTCGAATATTTCACAAAAGTCATGGAATACTCATATAGAGGTCAAATCTAAATCATCATAGTTCGAGAAATACGCCACTAACGACTCTCGAATCATGGATAAATTTTAGGAGAGTAGAATCAAGAAGGAACAAAATTGTACCTGCATATTTATGAATAAAGTTATGTTTCTTCATATATTTTTTATGATTGCAATTTATTTTCTGTCACTTAATTCAAAATTTGTTGCAAATAAAACCAATAATCCGCGCCAAGTTCAGGGGTGTTTTTAATACTTTTCTCAATTTAAATGAATAAAATAATTTGAGAAAATGCATAAGTACCCCCAGCCTATGCCCAAAATCTCTGAGACACACCTAACCTTTCCTAAGGTTCTATTACCCCCCGAACTTATTTTATATATAATTTTCTACCCCTTTTCGACCTACGTGGCACTATCTTGTGGGCCTAGTGCGTGTTGACAATTTTTTCAAGGATAGTGCCACGTAGGCCCAAAAGGGATAGAAAATTAATTAAAAAATAAGTTCGGGGGTAATAAGACCTTAGTAAAGGTTAAGTGTGTCTCAAGGATTTTGGACATAGGCTGGGGGTACTTATGCATTTTCCCAAATAATTTAGATATATTTGTCTAAATAAATAAGTGAATTATTCTAATTGGAGTGCTTATTAAAGTTCGGTCCAATTTTATTGGAGTACTCCATTGATTTATGTTACGAATAATGCGTCTATATATGTTGTTAAACCCAAGATTTGTCTTCCTAGAGGCCCAAATATAGAACACATGTCAAATGACGTGACATGTTCAGTCAAATAAAAGATTCAATAGAATCATGCTTCATGTCAAATTAAAATAACACATCATGCCTAGTCAAAATCAAAAGCCAAATAAAAATGTCACGTGTACAAGTGACATATTTCGATCAATCAAATGTCATCATGTCAACTCTAATCTGATTGGCCAAAAGAAGTTTATCCTCACCACAATTCTTCCATTCCACAACTATAAACATGAGTCTTCATAATTGAAAAAGGAATCGAAAATTGATAAAAAGAAGCAACAGAGAGCTCGTGGATCAAAAGCCGCTAATTTTCTATGTATAAGTCAAGATTGGAAGAACGTTCAAGCTGAAGATTATAGTTCGTAACATGGAATCTAAATTCATTATTTATGAAAAACATCCAAGCAGTCATAGCGAATAAGTCTAATCAAATTCAAGACAAAGCTATTTCAGCCCTTCAATCAAAATCAAATTCAAGTTTATCATAGGTTATATATATTATTATTGGAAAAATGATCAGAGAAATATCATAGAAATTGTAACACTCATTATATTTGAAATAAAATACTATGACTATTGCAGTATTTTTCTATCTTGATTGTTGTTTTCCGGACGTAAATTTTATGGTCTATAAATTCTTATACTTTCTAGTGGGACCAAAGTTACTCTTCATCTCTTCTCCACAAATCATATATGCAAATATGAAGTTAAAAAATCGTAAAGATGGAAGCTCCAGTAATTTTTATGGGTACTTTCAAGTCTTTGCCTGAGAGTTTCATCAAGATTCAAGTCTACACTCCGATAAGCATTAAAGTAGGAATATTTGTAGACAACGAAATTTTGGGAGATTCTATGAAACGAGTCAATTACATAATTAGACGTCTTCTATCTCATCGTGCTCCCTTACTCCTATAAAGATCGATGGAATAACCTATTGAATACTGTATCCGGTAAGGTATACAATTTACCTCAATAATATTAATTTTTATTTTATTTTGCATTTTTTCAACTTCATTTATATGATAAATGATCAAAATGGTCCTTGATATATAGGGGTTGAATTATTTTGGTCCTTAATTCATATATAATCACCTTATCAAAACAGTCTTTGATTTATATAAAAAAATTATTCATTTTATTCTTTAGCCCTAAAACTAGCCATAAAAGCAAAAAGTGTGGTTAGATTTAACGGTGGATCCCCCATTATTAATACATGGCAAACCTTTCTCCCCAAATCTTATCTCTTCACCCAATTCTACTTCGTTGATAAAAGAAGAAGAAGAAGAAACCAATCTTTTTACCATTATCAAAATTCCCTTTGACTCACTAATTAAAATCTTTTTAAATTTCCAAAGAACATCCTTAAAATTTCATTTTCTACGTCTGTCCCGTTCAATTTTTACCTTGTATCTGAAAAGTAGAATTAAAAAAAATCATGAAAAAATTATTAATTTCAAAAAAAGAAAAACAACAAAGCTATATCCTTTACGTATAGAGCTTCAACAAGAGAATATATATAATTAAAGCTTGAAATGATTTATGGCAATCTTCTAAGAGGAATTAATGAAGTGTTTTAGTTAGTTTATTTAGTTTGTATTTATGTCAGTGGTCTCATATTTTATTTTTATTTTTTGTATGTATGAAAGTGTGCAAGCTACTGGAATTGTTTTGTAGAGGTAGAAGGAGATAAGAAATAGGTGTAATGTATATAATTTTTCTTGTAAGAATATTGCAGGTGGGTGGATTGAAGTTGGAGAATGATCTCTAATGGTGAAAGAGAGAAGATTAAAGTTGGAGAATGATCTCAAATGGTGAAGGAGAGAAAATTGAAGAAGAAGAGGTCTGCTAGGTGTCAATATTGAGGGATCCACCATTAAATTTAACTACACTTTTTACTTTATGGTTAGTTTTAGGGTTAAAGACTAAAATGATTATTATTTTTATGACTATTTTGATAAGGTGATATATATGACTCACTATAAGAAAAATGTTGATTACCTGGGGATTTTCCTAGAGATATTACAGTAAATCCGCATGTAATTTGATTACCTGCGAATTTTCTTGCAAAATGAAATCCGATGGAAAAACCTTCGTAGGTAACTCTTACCTGCGGATTTATACAATCCCTAGGTAATTTACCTGGGGAATTTAAATCCGCAGTTGTGTTACTTGCGGATTTATTTGCATAACTAACGAAAATTCTTGCGAATTTTTTGCTAAAATTTCTTATAAAAACGAAATTTCTTGTAGATTTTCGTAGAAATTTTTCGCAAGTGATTCCCATGAAGATCCCCAAGTAAATCCATAGGAGTTTGGAGATGAAATTTTTTGAAACAAAAGGAAATTTCTTGCGGATATATATGAAAGTATTGCTCAAAATAATTCCAATGAATAGAAACCTGCAAAAAAACACAATTCACGTTATATCACTTCATTCAACAAAAAAACAGAATTCATAATTCATAATTCCTATGAAAATAAACCTGCAAGATCAATAGTATATGATTCTTAAACATACAAAAACAAAATACAACTCAAATTTGAATCCTAAAGAGTACCGTCAACTATCTCAATCCCCATTTGAAGATGAAGCGTTATAATGGGCAGAACCACTGTCATTCACGTTATCATGGGCAGAACCACTATCATTCACACTATCAGAGTCATCACCACTTTCATTCTCATAAGCTTGATTGTCTTCTTGAGATGATTGTTCATTTGAAGATGATGCGTTGTATACATGCTTCTTCAATAAATCCAATTCCCTCCTCATGCTCTTATTTTTGTGACGCTCTTTCTGCAGTTGAGCATATAAGTCAGCATTGGAAGCATTTACCTGAGCTTTAATCATCTCATCAATTTCTCGCGATAAAGTTGATGTTGATTGTTTAGACGATGACTTTACAGATCGACCCAGGGATCCAAGACCTTTAACTCTTCCTTTTTTCTTTCCTCTAACAGATTGCACCAAGATATCCATTTTTGTTAATTGAGAAGGTTGACCAGCTAAATTAGTTTCTCCTTCCGCAACTGATGCACTTTGAGAAGCTAATAATTCTTGTTTCTTTCTTTCAAAAGTATTCTGCATCAAAACAAGTTATTTGAGACAATATTTAAAGGCAAATCTCTAGCTCTCACTATTAACTGGCAACCATCAAAATCAATATACTTGTCAACATTGATATTAACAAATAAAATATGATTACATAATGCATATACTAGCATGGCATTTTTTGTAGAGTACTGCCAACTTTTTATTCTTTGTACTTGGAAGTAAAAGTGTCGAGATGTTCTTCACGTATGATTGCTTTCACTTGGAAGACAACTACATCTACCACTTGTATCAAATAATTATAGTAGAACGAGGTCACAGGGAAGATAATTCTAGTTTTCCAAACAGTTGGAAAATAAGACAATTTTTCTCATATTTATTGGTTCAAAGAACTTTAAGATTATCAGCAAGATCGTTTCATTTCTAAAATGCCTCAGTGTCTGGGCCACCTGCCGTGCACACCTTCCTAATTTCATCGGGTACTTGCTATCTCCCACCAGTTTAAGTACCAAAGAAATCACCTAGCACTTTGTCTCTGCTGGAATTTTCACCATGGTTTTCCATGGTTTTCATTCACCGCTAGGCCACAATACTAATTGGCTACAACAAGATCATTCCATCTTCTTACCAAGATATTTAACACAACTTAAGTAAAATATTTAATCTACAAAAGAATAGAGCGAACGAATACTTACATAAGCAGTTTCAGCTTTCTCATTTACCCAACTTTTATCACTTTTCTTGCGATGAGTTCAAAAATAAAATTCTGAAATTGATGGATCCTTTCCAGTAGATTCTTTCTATAATGAAGGAAGATATTTGTGTTATCAATGTTGAGTATGATGTTATTTTCTTAAAAGAAATACATCTAAAAAGATTTATGATTACCATTCTCTTATAGATCACTCGATGAGGTATACAACTACCTGTATGAAGTGATGCACCAGCATTTGAATCACAGTTTTTTTTTGTTTTGTTCGGACTTCATCTTGAATGCAGGAGACTCCTAGTGCCCCTTCATCTCCTTGAATACCGCATCCCCCATCCAATGTGGCTTCAGAGGCAAGTTTTTCTTATCATTTTGAAAAAGTTGTGTCATCCTTGCTGATGCCCTTTTCTCAAAATTACGTCTTATAACATTAGTATAGTGAGGGAGCCATTTGAATTTCTTCTGTATATAGCAAATAAAAACAACATTAATTATACAAGCTCACACCACCTGTATTAGACACTTGAGAATTGTTAAAGTGTTGCAAATGGTAGCGTTATTCCGGGAGATTCTTTAACGGATGAAATAAGCTCGCTATTTCATTTGAGTTTGGAATAATATATATGATCTCTCACTGTCGTGAATGTACCTCATCTAGTACAGTTGAGTCAAATCGAGTAGTTCGATACATCGATGCATATCACTTCACAGTTCCAGAAAGAAAGAGAGCAATAAAATTGCTTTCAGGAAAAGAAGACATTATATCCCAAATGGTTGAAACCAAGCCTAACCAGCCATATTAAATTTTTTCTAGAAAGTGTTGCTATGTCACTCTGATATACACTACTCAGAACCAAATCAATATTAAAAATAATGTAAAGTTGAGTTAGCATTTCTAGAAAACAACATTATTCACATAAAATTAAGATAAGAATCGAAGAATATATTCACATTTACTTTTGTTCAGACCTTTCAGCATTGAACTATTAACATGAATAGAGACCAGACTAACCACATTCAAAGGTCATTGCTTAAAGATAAATGCAGAGAAGACAGTAAAGAAAAAACAAAAGCAGACGTGTATGCACCCAAGTAGACTGATAGAAACATGTTTTACATAAATCTGATGCAATATTTACCATTAACCGAACTAAGACTTAACGCGGAGGACTGAAGACAGGGAAATTTTGAAATAGGAGTAGGCAGCAAGAAAAAGACCAAGAGATCGAGCAATATCGAGACTAGCATTACTATTTAGAGTCTTAAACAGGTAGCCCCAAAAACATATAAAAAATGAAAACTGAACCTAGCTGGACATGTCAAGAAGTTACAATCTAAACGACCATGAAAGGGAAACTCAACAACGCAATGAGCAAGATGAAGAATTATATAAAATAAGCAAGAGCTAAAATGACCCAAACAAAATATCATAACGAGATTGACAGAATATCAATGAAGGTAGTAAGCAGTAACTCATGTTAATATCAAAATCACATGACTTGATATAATCATGTGTATAGTGTCCTTACCTTGAATTCCTCAAACCACATATCATGAGTAGATTGTCGAAACTTCTTCCATGAGGGTCTAGCCAATTCAAATTTACTACGAATGCAACTAGCAATGCCTTCAATTACTATCTTGTGAGGATCAAACCTATATAAAATACATTAGTTATCGAAAATATAAACAGCTAAACAATTCAGCTAAGCAAATGTATTATTAAAAGTTAGTTTTATTACCCATCCTCTTCAGGTACAATCCAGATTTGATGATCATTGTCTCCATTGCCAACTGTACTAGATGAGGTGATTGGAGTCCTATTGGCTGGTGGTGACATCAATTGTTCAAATTCTTGATTTATAGGTTGGGACTGATTAGATTGAGCTTAAGATTCAGTGTTACAAGGTTGAGATCGGTTGACCTCAAGACTAGGTTGAGGCAAAGGAGGCCCATTTACATGGAGTGAACCAGTTTGAGAATAGAGGGACCGTGATGGGATTATGGGAGGTCGAGATTTAAAGTTACAAGGTAAAGATTGATTCACTTCAAGATTAGGTTGATGCATTGAAGATTCATTGACATGAAGTGAACCGATATGAGATTGGAGGGCTCCTGATGGTATTATGGTAGGCAGTTGAACTGTTTGTTGCTCTACTGTACGTATCTTTCTTTTACTTAATTTTTCTCGTTTACTGTTAGGCTGTCTTACTCTCTTAGATCTTGTACCTGACATCTGCAACAAACAAAGAACAATAAAACAATGTATTAGTAATGTAACCAATAAATAACACATGAATAAACATAGTGATAATGAAAATCAATGAAGACAAAGTAATGCAAGAAGTATTTTTGTTCAACTTAACAGCTAATAGATTATAAATGTTAACAAGATCAAGGGAGATACATGTACTTGGTAAATGGTCATAGTAATATAAAAATCACAATTCTATAAACCAGAATATAGTACTGTACTGTAAGTAAACAAAACAAATAGACAAACTAATATTCTAAATCATCATATGCATCATGTTCTTGGGTTTGAAAGTGGTCTTGTGAATCATCACTATCAAAAAATTCTTCCTCTTCACTTGTTTACCCTTCCTTATCTTCCTCTTCTTCACTTGTTGTCTCCTCATCTTCAACTTCATTTTCATTGACAACTGGTTGAAAATTACTTTCATGTATCTCTTCACCTTCAACTTGGTCATCTCGTAAGCAATCAATTAGATCATCCTCAATACTTGCACTAATATTTGATTGCTCCTCTTGGTAAGCACCTTCCAAATTATATTTGATAAGAGCTTATGCCCTTTGGTGTTTTGATGATCTCCTCACAAGTGTAGGGACCCAGTTCTCTGCAGAGTATGAATCTCGTCCAGTGTCAATATGTTGTACAACTATAAAAGTTGTCTGCATCAGAAAGTCGGTGAAGCTGCAGAGTACTTCACAAATCAGAAGAAATGAGTTTCCTTGTTCAATTAAGGGGGAAACACCAGTTATTGAATGAATGATTGTTCACTTACGTAAGGAGTTATGCAGGTTGTTTGTCATCATCAAAAAATGGGGAAATTGATAAGTGCTTATGTTCCTAGATGTTTTGATGATCTCCTCACAAGTGCAGGGACCTGGTCCTCTGCAGAGTATGAATACTTGTCCAGTGGTCAAAGTGTTGTACAGCTGGAAAGCTGTTTGCGTCAGAAAGTTGGTGAAGCTGCAGAGTACTCCACCAATCAGAAGCGACGAGGTTGTTTGTTCATTGGATAATAACTTTTCATGTCTAAATATATCCAAGGAAAAACAACAAACTAATTCATTCATTCATTCAAAAGGAGAGAGCCAACACGTATTCTCAAGAACTTACTAAGAGAAGTTTGCAAGGGGCCTGGTCCCTAGAAGACTGCGATGTGAAAGGACGATGTGGTAGGTGCACGTCTTTCCAGAGAGGCAGGCTCTCAGCCAATGGGCGGTCCCAAGGAGTTTGTGTTCATTTTGATATAACCTCTCAACACAAAACACAAACTCAAGATTTTGGCAAACAAAAACTCACAAGCTTAAAAGGAAAAAGCCATATTCAAGGTAGAACAATACTCACACTCAAAAAAAGGATCTGATAAAGGGCTGAGAGTTTGAGTTTTATGTCTATCATTATATAGGTTTTTGCATCTTGAAACTTCTCAAGTATACAAGCAAAGACCATTTTGGTGAAGTATTCTCCAGCAAGCACAACAAGAACCGGATCAAACTGTAAGCATCCGAATGTGTCTTAGGAGTTATACTTTCGTGCGTATATTGTAAATTTGTTCCTAGTTTATAAAGGATTCAGATCTTGTTTCGGTTTCTAAAAGTCTAAATCGTCTAGACTTAGGTGGTTTAGTGGGCGGTGTTGTATATGCTTAGAAAAATCTATATTGATCAATGAGGGTTAGTATAGTGGGCAGTGTTGTATCTGCTCTGGCTCAGCTAAGTGATATGAGATATTGCTTAGTGTGGAGATTAGTAGGCTAATCTCATTTTGTAAATTGGCTTTTACTTTTGCTTGGAGAAGATTAGTGAAAGCAGTTTGAAAAGTTTTGGCAGGCCAGGTCGTGGTTCTACTCCCTTGAGCAAGGAGGTTTCCACGTAAAACACTTGTGCAGATCTTACTTTCAACTGTTTATTTTCTGCACATTTTTAGTTATTATTCTTGCTGAGACAAGGGACCTGGTCCCTGACTGACAGTGGACGCATACATTCCATCAATTAGTATCAGAGCGGGTGCTCTCTAGCTTGTTAACACCAAGAGAGATTCCTATGGAAAGAATGGTTGCTCCACTGAGATGGCAAAAAGGTCGGTCTTCAACAAGGCCACCCTTGTTTGATGGTCAGTATTATTGTTGGTGGAAACATTGCATGTTTGACTTCATAATGGCTGAAAACTATGAGCTATGGGATGTTATTTGTGAGGGTCCCTATGTGTCATCTATAGAAGTAAAATATGGGGATGTCACAAGGGTTGTTGTCAAAACTCGACAGCAATACAATTAATTTGACAAACGGAAAGTTGAGAAAAATCACAAGGCTAAGAAGTTCTTAATGTGTGGAATCAGACCTAATGTATATAATCTGATTTCTTCGTTCGAATCAGCTAAAGAAATTTAGGATCTGCTGAGAACTACCTATGTGAAGCTGAGGAAACAAAGGCAGATCTGACTGGGGATGCTGATCAGAAGGGAGATGCAGAAAGGTATGAATCACTACCCTCCAAGGTGTCACAATGTGAGAAAGAAGCTCATGATAGCGCTATAAGCTCTAGTGGCATGCGTTACAAGCGCGATCAACCAGGTCACACCATGAGAGACTGTCATGTGCTTGAAATTGATCACAAGAAAGTAAAAGAACAAGAGGGGGAACCAGGTTCGTGCCTGCAGTAGTAGAAGAGAAACCTTTTTCCATATGGTAAAAAGGGAGATGACTGCATGGGAAGACTCCTCGAGTGTTTCAGATGACCTTGAGCACTCTGATGAAGCCTTTATAGCAATATCTGATGATAAGGAAGATGAAGAAGAGGTAACCCTTTCTGATCTTAAACAAAACTTACATGTTTACTGTGTTAAGAAGTTGAGAAGTCTAGCCGTTATTTTGATTGACACTTTCATTGAGTTAACAACTGAAAATGATCTGATGAACAACAACCTAGATATCCTTCGAGAAGAAAAAGTAGCCTTGGTCAACCAAATGTCTGTTGTGGAAGAACAATTGATGGTTCTAGATACTGAAAATCTAGAACTTAGGGAAAAATTAAAGATGCTGAGTGAGAAATGTGGTAGCTGTAAAGGGGAGGCCAGCAGCTTGCAAATCGAGCTAGAAACCAGTTTGAATACAGCTGAAACAAAACTTGTTATGGCCTTGGAGAGAAATAATCAGTTAGAGAGGGACCTGGTCCGTGTCAAAGAAGAACTGAACAAATCTCCCAAGTGGACCAACTCCTTAAAATTCATTGCAAATCTTACCAGAAAAGGTCAAAATGATAGGAAGGGGTTAGGAAATTCAAGCAAAAGTCCTTCTTACAATCTCCATGGCAAAGATGTGTCCATGACTGATAGTTTGCCGTGTCTCCATTGTGGTTGCGATGGTCACTTGAAGAAGGATTGTCCAACTTGGAAAATGACCTAAGATAAACTCTCAAAATATTCTAAGCAGAGGAGTAGGAAGAAGAAGGGACCTGGTCAATAGAGCAACAAGCAGAAGAAGAGACCTGGTCAACAGAAGAACTGGCAGAAGAAGGGACATGGTCGTGCTCCTGCTCCTACGTTGAAAAAAATCAATCTGCCTCACTGGACAAAGAATTCTCTTATCACTCATTTATCTGCTTACTAGGAACTCCAACTAAAGTGGGTTCCTAAGGCTAACAAGTGATATGGTATTCTTGTGAGAAGAAGTAGTAATAGTCAGCGTTGATTCATGAATTGCGGATGCTCAAGGCACGTGACTGGGAAACTGAAAACTTCTTCTTTCTCAAGGCACTTCAACGTGGAGGTGTCTCATTTGGCAATGGCAGAAAAGTCTCACTTGCCTTAGTGCTCAAAGTGAGAATGCTGAGATGACAAAGGTTGTGACGATGAGGTTGTGATGATGGTGTTGAAGAGAAGCAGATCAGACCATTCTTCAGCAATTTCAAGAAAGCTGATGCAGATGATGAACCTAATGAGGGACCTGGTCCGTGGATTACCAAAGCTGAAATTTTCAAATGATAAAGTCTGTGATGCCTGTGCAAGAGGGAAACTAACACGATCATCATTCAAGGCTAAGATGGGAGTGAGCTCAACCAGACCTTTGGAGCTTCTCCACATGGATCTATGTGGACCTGTCGGAATTCAAAGCAGAGGAGGTAAGAAGTATGTTCTTGTAGTTGTTGATGATTTCTCCAGGTACACTTGGAATATATTTCTGAAAAAAAGACGAGACTTCTGGAATTCTGATCAACTTTGCCAAAGCTATTCAACTGAAGTTCAACTCCAAAATTGCTAGTATCCGGTCTAATTATGGCACAGAGTTTGAAAACTATTATCTTGAAAGTTTTTGTGCTGAAAACAGAATCAATCACAACTTCTCTGCACCAAGAACTCTTCAGAAAAATGAAGTGGTTGATATTGCAAGAACTATGCTAATTGACTCGGGGCTTGCTATGAACTTCTGGGCAGAAGCTTTCAACACAGCATGCTATGTCACAAATTGGTGCCTTATCAAGTCTATGTTGAAGAAGACTCCTTATGAATTGTTAAACAACATAAAGCCTTCAATTGCCCACCTTAAGCCATTTGGGTGCAAATGTTTTGTACTAAATAATGGAAAGGATGATCGGGGTAAGT